GATGATGCTCAACCAAATGTTGCTTGTTTTGTGTTGTTGCATCACATAGTTTTTTTTTATGATTTTTTTGATGACGATGCTCAACCAAATGTTGCTTGTTTTGTGTTGTTGCATCACATAGTTTTTTTATGATTTTTTTGATGACTTTTTTTTTTTTTTTTTTTTTTTTGTTTTTTCGTACGGGGCCGTACAAGACGTACAGGTTCCCGTACAGATCCCGTACAGAAATAACCTGTATGTTTCGTACGGGAAGTCTCCGTACGTGTACTTTATGCAACGTAGATTCAGAAGAATTAATCCTACCAAGCAGAAATACACCTGTCTCAGAAAAGGTCAAGCACGTAAGATTATTAGATCGTGTATAGACCTAATACTTTTATCAGAGGAATTATGGGGTGTCATTCAATTTGCAAAAATCTTTCCAACTACTTCATGTCTCTCATCTGAAGATTGATAAATTTAAGGACTTCCTTAAAGATGTGTAGATCTTCTAGAGGGAACAAAGAGTCTTTATGAACAATGATGTTAAATGGTTGAACAATGACCTTGCCTTCATAGGTAATAAATGCCGTAAATATTCTAAATTACTAGCTTTACAACGATATTCAAAAGAAATCAAACTTCATGAGAGAATTCAACACTTACAACAACAAGAAATAGATTTTGATGACCATGAACTTTTGGAATCCACGACAGTGGTGTCAAAAATTGAAAGATCAATTGCTAACCCAAATGAAATATAGATGACAAGGGACACACATTTGGAGAAAACTTTGGCGTCATCATATAGAAGAGACAATTGATGCATTTGTTTTTGCAATGGCTAGAGCACAAACAGATACGGGGATTATTGAGGCTCTTACTGACCCTCTTAATAGAGAATGGTCATTGGTCACCTCAATTGTTTTCCAAGGATTTGTTTACTTCAAGTAATTCTTATATTCCCATGGATAATCGTATTAGAGATACATATGATTTTCTCATTCCCTTGAACAAAACTGTAACAAATGAACAAAAGGAAATGATGGATA